TTTTATTTTGTTTTGCGCTTTGGCAGTTCGGGCGGTGGCAGTCCGAGCCCCTTTTCCTTTCTTTTGTTGGCAGTTCTGAGCAACGCGGAGAGAAGATGCAGCCCCGCGCCTGCTGGGGACAGAGAAGACCAGCGCCCGCAGCCTGCAGCCCCGGAGTTCTCTGTCCCCGGCAGGCGCAGGGCTGTGGCTTCTCTCCCCTGCTGGGCACTACTTTTCACACCGTGTGACTAGGCGAGTGCACATAGATACCCCGGCAGGCACCATGGTGTCCCCGGGCACCGTGTTGGGGACCACTGCTATAAGGCCTTCACCAATGGCACAGAATAAAGAAGACAGCAAATATCCTCACATCCTCACTGAGACATGAGGTTTACCTCTCAGCCTTAGTCAGACATCCCCAATGCAGTATGAACGGCTTGTGTGTTTTCAATTCATAACCAGAGAGTTGGGGATTCATGATTCTTTGGGGCTGAAGAGTCTGATCTGTTTAGTGTAAAGGAATTGGGTAGTGTCCCTTTAAATAGTTTGTGAGCCCCATAGTGATGCTCACCATGTTCTATGTCTTAGAAGCTACCAGTCAGAGCAGCAGTGTGCGTGTAGCTAGGCCTGACAAGATTGCATATAGGTAGCAAACATGGTTACTAGGGACCCAGCTGTGCCCTGTGGTTTCTCCACATTGCTGGTTGTTGGCAGGTTGAGCAGACGTGGTTTACAAGACAAGACAGTGATTTGAGATGTACGGTGCTGACCAGCAACAGCAGCAAACCCAGCGAGGAGACTGGAGCTCCTACCTGACTCCAGCCTGTGAACCTGTAGAGTGAGGCAGAGAGCGACGTAGCCGGGCAGAGCGGAGCTCACTGTGGAGCCGGGGGTGAACGAGGGAACCTTCCCTGTCATCATAGCTTGGTCTGGGGAACAGGAGAAATAACAAACCAGACGGTGAGTGAGTGTGACACAGTGACAGGACAGTACCCCGGGGCAGTGCAGAGGATGTAACAAGCCTCACTGCTGCCTAACATACACCAGAAGGGAAGGGATTTCCCCCACAATCCTCGTCTGCCCTGGCTCTGAGCAGGGTTAGATGTCACTGTGCCAGCAGCTGTTCCATACCACGTTCACACCATGGCTGGCACCTGTGGAGCTGTCTGGTCTTATTAAGGCCTTGGCTACACCTGGCAATTCACAGCGCTGCCATGGCATGTGAAGTGCGAGTGTAGTCACACCGCCAGCGCTGCGAGAGCGCTCTCGCAGCGCTGGGTAGGTACTCCACCTCTCTGAGGGGAGTAGCTTACAGCGCTGCGAGCGAGCGTGCAGCGCTTCCGGGGGGGGGGGCGTTTTCACACCCCTGAGCGCAGCAAGTTGCAGCGCTGTACAGCGCCAGTGTAGCCAAGGCCTTAGATTTTAATACACTCTCGAGAGCAGGGACGGTCCCTCACTACTGGTGTGTACGGCACAATCAGGCACCCCTCTTGCTTGGGGCATTTAGATACTCCCGTAGAATGGGACATATTAAGGAAAACAAGCCAGTGCAGGCAGGGCCATTGACTGTGCTATGAATGGCCACTGATTGCTGTGGAGAAAAGTGGCTCCATCTCCCAACCACACCTGTCCTGGGAATCTCCCAGTGAGCCCTGCGGGGGGGCTGTTACTTTAAGAGGAATTTGCTCCGCCCCAACCAGCCCGGGACACAGATCTTGACTTCAACTTCCCGCTACTCTGGTACTTTCAGTTTTGAAGCGCAGTGAAGGCCCAGGCGGGGAGGGGGCTCGGCCCCCTCAATTCAGCTACAAATGTAACAAATGTAACTGGGGCTGCAGCCTCGGTGAGTGACATGGGGACCAGGGAATCTGGGAATCTCCCAGTGAGCAAATCAGTCCCTGGCCCCGATGATTTTGCATGTGTGACCCACTCTCATTGCCTCCAGCATTGGTGCAATGTCAGGAATGAATTCTGAGCAGGGTCACCACGTCTCTGTGCTCCTGGGATCTGTAACATTGAAACCGCTCTAAGGATATGTCTCCACTGCAGCTGGGAGCGAGCTTCCCAGTGGGACAGACAGACATGTGCTGGCTCTGCTGGAACTAGCACACTGAGCACAGCAGTGTAGCTTTGGTAGCCAAGGCAGCAGCTCAGGTTACCTGCCAGGATCACAGTGGGTATGTACTTGGGCAGCTAGGTCAAGCCACTACCCATGCTACACTGCTGTTTTTATGGCACTAGCTTGAGCAGAAAGAACGAGGAGTACTTGTGGCACCTTAGAGACTAACAAATGTATTTGAGCATCAGCTTTCGTGGGCTAAGCCCCATTTCATCGGGTGCATGCAGTGGAAAATACAGTAGGAAGCATGCATACATCCACTGCATGCATCTGATGAAGTGGGCTTTAGCCCACAAAAGCTGATGCTCAAATAAATTTGTTAGTCTCTAAGGTGCTACAAGTACTCCTGTTCTTTTTGCTGATACAGACTAACACAGCTACCATTCTGAAATCTATCTTGAGTATGTGTCTGTCTGTTTATGGTGGGAATTGCACCGCCCAGCTGCAGTGTAGATGTACCCTTAGAGACAAAGAGCTTTAGGCTCACGCTGCACTGAGCCATGCAACCCCTGCCAGGCTGTGCGGTGGTGTAAAATCCTCCCAGGAACTAGAAGGTGCCTGTAACTTCCCCTACAGCCACCAGGGCCAGTGTTGGCCACAGAGCGGCCAGCGTTGGACTGGAAGGGAATGTGACCAGGGCTCCAGGTCACAGACTCATGGACTTCCCTACTAACCCCCTTCCCCCCGCAAGGGCTCCCATTGACAGAGCGTGGGGGCAGAGGTGAAGCACTCCCTGCCCTGGCAGGCACCCATAGGGTGGGCGGCAGTGGTAACAGCACCTGCCCTCCCGTGGGGCAATGGCCCTGCAGACCCAGGTGGAGCTGGGAGGGATTCACTGAATGTGGACCAAGGGTTTTCTCTTCTAGTCTTTCACCCCCTGCCTCCGGAACTTCAGTTTAGTGAGTTAATAACAAAGGGGGGGAGAGAGAAACACAAATACACACACACACACCTGTCACAAAGGGAGCCCAGCTCTGTGCCAGCCTCCCAGTCTGTGTTCAGATGAACAGAGAAATTTCTGAATTTGCAGGGACATTCCCACAGCCAGGTTGACATTCAGAGTCAGGAGGTGCCAGTTTCTCCGGAGAATCCCTTCAGTGAGGCCCATTGGTGATAACAGCCCTCAGCACCGTGTGTCCAGAGATCTCAGACCGAGCCGTGCAGCTGGGGATCCGGAGCCCGGAGCTCCCCTCCCTGCTGAGTCACAGAAAGAAGCTTTGAATCAGAAAGTCTGGAAAGTTCCACAAAATTCTACAAAGTTCTAGAACATTCTAGGAGGTTAGTGACAAATGAGCCACATAAGGAAAATCCGAAACATTTTACTTCAAACATTCGATTTTTCCTTTTATCACTAACAACAAAAACAGCCCCCGAGCCCGGCGCCCCCCAGCCTGGCACCTCAGGTAATCGCCTCGGTTACGTGCCCCAAAATCCGGCCCTGGTCCCCAGGTCACTCACCGAGGCTGCAGCACCAGTTACATTTGTTACATTTGTAGCTGAATTGAGGGGGCCGAGCCCCCTCCCCGCCTGGGCCTTCACTGCGCTTCAAAACTGAAAGTACCAGAGTAGCGGGAAGTTGAAGTCAAGGTCCGTGTCCCGGGCTGGTTGGGGCGGAGCAAATTCCTCTTAAAGTAACAGCCCCCCCGCGGGGCTTGGAGCTGGGGGGAGGGCTGGGGGGGGCAGTTTGCTGGGGGAGCCAGTGTAGGGGTGTCAATGCCCCCCCCCCGCTGCTGTTCCTGCTCCCCAGGGATCGCTGGTTCTCAGTAATGAGGCAGAACAATGAAGAGTCTTTGTGGCACTTTAAAGACTAAGACGTTTAGTGATGAAGTGGGTTTTAGCTCATGCCCAAATAAATGTGTTAGTCTCTGAGTCTAGGTGCCACAAGGACTCCCCCTTGTTTTTGCTGATGCAGAGTAACAGGGCTTCCCCTCTGAAACCCGGCAGAATGAGGAGGGATGCTGGGGGGGGGGAGGCTGAAATCCGGAGTGACTGAGTGGGAACCGGGGCTGGAAGCAACAGCTGGTCAATGGGGGGATCAGAACGGACTGACTGGGACTCAGGCACTGCCGGGCTGTAGCTGGCTCGGCTCCTGCAGGCGCTCAGGGGAGGGGAGCAGGCCGGGGCGGGGGCGGGCAGCAGCTCTGGGACTCGCAGACCCCCCGGGAGCAGAGCTGGGGCGAGGAGGGGCCGTTGGTGCAGAGTCACTTTCCTGCTCTCCCCTCAGCTGCAGGCTCCGGAGCTGCTGTCGGCAGAGCCCGGGGCTGGTTCCCGCCCCCGGAGAAATCCCCGTCCCCCCGGAGTGCAATGGCCAGGTCTCAGTGTCGATGAAATCTCCGGGGGGCTCAGGGCTGGGGCTAGAGGAGGATCCTGGGGGGGAGCGGCGGGTCCCGTCACTGTTACGCTGTAACCAGCAGCCCGGAGAGGAGGAGTCCGTGGGGCTCCCTGGGCTGGATTCTTGTGAATCACCTGAATTCCCCTCCCCCCAGCCCCGCTCCTTCCAAAACAGGGAACAGGAGCAGGCGGGGGAGCAGAGCCCAGATCTGGTGCCCTGTCCCTGCTGCTCAGCAGAGATGCTCCCACCCACCAAAATCCCTTAGGTGCCTGTTTCTGCCGCTAGCCATGTGCACTGTTGCCTCCCACTAGGCACCCCCATGCCTATCTCCTGCCCAATCCCTAGCACGAACCATGACCCTGGGGAAGACAGGTGCTCCTCTGCTTATCTCGCTTGCAGGGTCTGATCCAGCAGCTCTGCTCAGAGGACAACCATCAGATCCAGTCTCAGACAAAATCTGGCCAGAGAAGGATGTGCCACTCCAATATGCAATATGAAGAGACCCAGGTTCACTTCCCCTCTGTCTGAGGGAGAGAAAGGACTTGAACTGGGGTCTCCCACACCTCTTAGGGGAAGTTCTCTAATAATTTGTTCTAGTGTGTTTCCAGGGACTGAAGTTAGGCTGACTGGTCTATAATTCCCTAGGTTGTTTTTGTTCCCCTTTTTAAATATAGGTACAATGTGCCCATCTCCAGTCCTCTGGGACCTCACCCGTCCTCCATGAGTTCTAAGAAATAATTATGAACAGTTCTGAGATTGCTTCAGGGAGTTCTTTATGTGCCCTGGGGTGAATTTCATCAGGCTCTGACAACTCCAATACACCTAACTTATCAAAATATACTTTAACCTGTTCTTTCCCTATTTTCACTGGCATTCCTTCCCCTTTGCAGTTAATATTAATTGTGTTGAGTATCTAGTCACAATTTTAGTGAAGACTGAACCAAAATAGGCATTAAACACCTCAGTGTCTGCGACCAGGACATGGGTGATCATGCCTAGGAGTCAGAGCCCAGGGTCAGAACAGGAGTCAGAGGCTTGATGCCAGACCCAAGGATTAGAGCTGATGTCAGAGGTCAGGAATCGGAGCCGAGGGCCAGAACTGGATTACTTGGAATGAGGCAAGAGAGGGGCAAATTTTGGGCCGAGTTAGGAGCAGGATGAGAACAGCAGAGGCTAACAGCAGGAGTTTGCCTGGGAGCTGTCCAAGAGGAGG